GGAATACGGATTAATGTTGCGTTCTGGATCAGACTCGAGGCCGAGGTAGTACGGGAGTGTGGAACCGCGATGCGGAGCCGACAAACAAATGACACCTTTGATCATCTTGCCGGAGGTGTGTTGACCGAAGAAGTTGGTTGTGAGGAGATTTTGCAAATGAAGAGCTGTGGTCGCACCGTATCCCTTGCCTATGTGGGTAGTAGTAAATAGTGGGAAACATGAAATAATCTCGTTTAGATTAAAAGAATTTTTTTTGAATCAAATGAGCGAACGAACGAAAGACAATTGATTGACTCTACCAATTAGGACTATTGGATTTTCCGGACTCCAATCCGGAATTAAACCCTCGTATGTCGCGCCATGCTGCTTATGACCGAATTGATGAGAATGGCGTAATCCGTAGTCCTGCAGAAAAAAAAAAGGAATTTAGAACCAATCAAAATAGGGCAACGCCCAATAATTTCAAATCACATACCACTCGACCGCCCTTGATTTGGTAATAAATTTCCACTGCACGATCGTGGATAGACTAACGTCAAAAATGCTAGCGTTAATTATAATCTCTCATGTCTGTATATGATCATCCAAAGGAGAAAAGGTACCTACACCGAATGAGCTAGGACTAACGACAAAGGGATCATCGATCACCTCTCTGACATCACTCCAATAATCGGCTATGGTCCAAGTTGTACCACCGCTGAACGGCAACGTTATATCAAAGGTATCATATCCGAGAAATCCGGGCACCAATACAACCCTATCTTTATTTTCGCCGTCCAGAAAAAACTGGACGTCCTTTGGAGGTTGTTCCTCCTGACAATATGATTCTAAGGGCATTGCACGATACACCGATCCACCTTGGTCCACCTCGGCAAGGTACGGTATGTCGCCTTCATCTTGATCGGTATTTGTTGGTGTGTTTTGAGGATGAAGTTGAGGTGAGGTTTGAGGAGACCAGATTTTGTTTTGAAAGTATCGAAACATTTTTATCCGTGCAACTTTTCTCTATGAAAAAGAATCGATGAAAGAAGAAAGAAAAAAAAATATATATATTATTTATATATGACCGTCTCCCTGTGATAATGATAGGAATATTTTTTGTCTATGCTGTTTCTTTATTGGTATATGAAGTCTGTATTGATCGAATGTTTGCATCGATAAAAGGGTGTAAATTATTATCCTTTTTTTTTTTCTTGTCAACGGTTTTATTTTAATCGTTTGCTCGCAACGATTAAATGATTTGGAGACGCCACCACACAAAATGAGGTCAATTTATATCAAAATCAAAGTATTCGATTATGTAATCAGGTGGTTCCCCATTAATTGGTGGCGACCCATCTCAGTGGTTCCATGCACGAAAGCATGCGCAAAAAAAAAAAAAAAAAAATTTCGAAGGGGATGATAAAGCTGAAATAGGGAATTCGTCTATTTGTCTAT